GGATTTTCGCCACCTCTGACATTTCAAGATACTATCTTTGGAAACATTGAGTTGACGTCATCTTCCCTCTCCTCCTCCCTTCGTCTCTCTCCTCCCTCCATTYGTCCATGGATGATCTCAGACCCTGGCCTTCGTCTATGTCTAAGGCCAGGGCTTTCACACCCCTGATGTATGATTGAGAGTGTTCGATTGCAGTCCGAGTCAGGTCAGAGTCAGTCTATGTATCTCAAGTCTTCCGCTTGCATTGGTATCTGTAAACTCTGTATTATCTGGTCGGTTCTGGGGAATCTGCGCCATACTTATGACTGTGTTTCACAAGTATGCAACACCGGGGAAGAGAGAGGGAGGGAGGGAGAGCACATGCACACACTCACTCGACTCGACGCGGACACGACTCGACGGACTCAGACACAAAGTGGCAAACTCACAAAGTCACAAAGTCGCAATCTTGGTTTCGAACACAATGTCGCAGCAAGTCACACTGAAGCACAAGCACTCGGGCGGAAAACTGCCTGCCCCAGCGGGGCTTGAGTCCGGTCTTAAGTATCGGACTCAGACTCAGTCCAAAGGGCCGAGGTGTGGCCTGATTGAGAATCGCAGGTCTGAGCCTCGGCGCCAGAATGTCGGATGGCGCCAAGTATCAAAATCTTTTTCTTTTTTTTTTTTTCTTTTTTTTTCTTTTTTTTTCTTTTTTTTTGGCCAGGTATCAAAATCTGAAAGTGCCAAACGGGGGATTTGAGAACGGGCGCTAACGGTCAGGAACCGGAGATCAGGGACTCAAGAAAAATGAAATAACAGCCTGGCGGGTGGAGGCCCACGGACCAGGGATCGAGCCCTGCCCGAGTCCGTAAACAGAGTCTCCTTACACACTGCCATCCGACTTCTACGATTACTTGAGGGATCGGTAAGGCCTTCCTAGATGTAGGCGAAGGCGGGAAAGGAGGTTACGAAAGACAGCACAGATCATGACCAAAATTCAACAGAAGCAAGAAGAAAGAATGAGCGTGAAGGGAGGGGGAAGAAGACAGTTACAGTTTGTCCATGATGGCGTGAAGAAAGGGGCTGGAGGAGCGAGAAAAGATTGCATGTAGGAGCGTGGTGCAGAAGAATGCATGCACGCAGAAACCAAAAAGGCACCAACGCAGTTATGCGAAATGCCAGTGAAGCTGCACCTAATTCCGAAAGCCGATTTAAAATTGGAAAGTTCGAAAGAAAATTCCGCGCTTGAAGTCTAAAACGGACGAATTCCTACGTCTATTCCTCTTCTACCATCCATCAACAAAAAAATCACGGGGCTTCCAGGGACATCTCCAAAATGTACATGCACAAAGAAAGGACTCATTGTGAAGTATCCCAATGGGCACCCGCGATTTCCGAAATTTCAAGAAAAATCAGAGGAAAAAGAATTCCAAGCGCGCTCGCTAAGGCATGCGTAAATCCTACGCAAAAATACAGCAAAACACAAGGAAAAAATCCGAAAATTGCAGAAACGAAGAGTCAAGATTGGCCGACATGTCCCATGCATCGAGGCTCTTCAAGGACAAGCCCTGCAAACAGTGAAAAGCCAAAATCGCGACCGAGACCTGAACCCAACATCACCATCCGCCAAAAGTGCAACCTGGACCTGGTAGAGGAACTGGAACTGGATTAGATCAACCCCGGTTATCAGGAAAGCACTAAAAGAAAGGAGGGGGCTCAGACGCTCGTTCATGCACGAGAAGCGGTTCACAGAGCCCTAAATTTCCAGGGTTTGTTCATGGTTTTTAACTTTTTATGAGAAAACTCCACACCTTGTAAACCAAACTTGTCACCAATCCATAGAGTGGACAACAAATAAGCCAACAGCAAAAAAAACGAAAGGAAAGCCTTTTCAGTGCTTGGGGGTTTAAACTGTGGGCTGAAAATTGGGGTTCCCTGTTAACCACTTGTGTGGTTGTGGTTGTGGTTGTGGTTGTGGTGGTGGTGGTGGTGGTGGTGGTGGTGATGGTAGTTGTGATGGCGGTGCTGGTTGTGGTGGTGGCGCTGGTTGTGGTGGTGGTTGTGGACCTTGTGGTGGTGGTTGTGGTTGTGGTTGTTGTTGTTGTTGTTGTTGTTGTTGTTGTTGTTGCTGTTGGTGTTGTTGTTGTTGTTGCTGTTGTTGGTGGTGGTGGTGGTGGTCGTGTTGTTGTTGTTGGTGGTGGTGGTGGTGGTGTTGTTGTTGTTGTTGTTGTTGTTG